CGTCGTTTCAGTTCGGCAGACTTCGGCACGGTATTTGTGTGCGTGCGACTAGACGTATGCGTGTAGACTAGCTGCTAACTGCTGATAACTGATTCTATCTCTTTGACACAATTTCGGAAAAATTGAATTTGAAAATGAATAATAATCTACAAGAATCCACAACAAAATATGGGACCACCATTGACGCGGTATTTTCCAGATATTTAGAGGATATCAAGTCTCAAACTTATGTTTCTTATTTCAGTTACCATTAACCTATAGTTTCAATGATAAAAATTCCTGAATAACCTACATGTATTGTAAGATAATAAAAATATTTTAAACAATATTAACTTCTCATTTATTCAGTAAAAGAAAAAAATGTGTTTTCTTATTGGTCACCACGCTCAAAAAGTGTAACTTGAATTAATATCAAAGAAAAAAAAATACTGCATAAATAAAATAAATAAATAATTATAATTGCATAAGTTGATAAAAAATGCTATGCAATAGCTTTACCGCGGCAATCCCCGAGTGCCACACGTATTTTTTTTTATTTCTACAATGTACATTTTTGTATGAATAGTTTACCCTTAATTTCTTTCCTTACTGGAGGGGAGCAACCCTTTCGAAAAATTTAAATGGCATGGCATGGCAAATTCACTTCATTACGTGTTGATTTATTAATATATAAAAATAACAAAACATCACAAACAGGAAAGCAACTAAACTAACAGTGACTCTATCTGTTATTACAATAAACGTTCAAAATGTTACCCGTTGACCTCCTGGCGAAAATAAAGTCTAGGGGGGGTGGGAAACTTATGATGCTCACTGTGTATAGATCTACTGTCACATGTCCCTTAATTAACACGCGACCACCGTCCTCGTGGAAGGTTATATATTGTATTAAATTGACTACGTGAAAAGTTTAACGTGGTGTGTATACCATGCACTGTTAATTTGATAGTTTTAAGGTTTCACTTCTGTGGGCAGTCTTCAATATCTCGGCCTCCTAGATCTCAGGATCTTTCGCCTTTTGATTTCTACCTCTGGGCATGGTATAAGAATAGTGAAGCGGTGCGCAGGTTTTATGACGTCAACATCGGTATTGTCACGGCCGCCTATAGACTGCCATAGCTTTGTTTACATTTTGTAATGATTGTCAAGATGTTATATATATTTAAATGAAAATAACTGATAAATTACACATAAGTTATGCTCAATAATACAAGAAAACTCACTATAGGTATTGGACCCTTGTGCAAAAGAAATGCCAAATAAAAATATATTTTGAGCACTTTTATATACAGAAACTAGATAATTTATTTCCACTTTAGCGTAATATATTTAAGTTACATCAGTAGGTATGATGCATTTCTCTTGAGGATTTACAAGATAGTGTTCATCTGAAACTGAATTCTTCCACCACAAAACATGAAGAGGATGTTACGTCTAGGATAGTTCTTGTAGCCAAACACTGCACAACCTGGCGTTTTGCTAATAACTACACTCCTTAAAATAGTAGATTTTAATGTACCAATAACAAAATACAACAAAAATGTTATATAACCTAACTTTATATCAATTACACTATCAATTTAATTGAATAATACGTACCAATAATTACTAAAAAGACCTCTTGCTATACAGAAATACTATTAAATTTTTAATATAAAGTTCTAAGCACTACCAGGAAGATATTAAAGTAACTTAAAAAGTCGCCTTTTAACATTCAAGACATAGGCGTGATAAAGATTTGCAACGAAGTGACGTCATGCCCAAGTTGACCGAATTTCGTACCGTTAACCGCTTCACCTGTATTTTTCCACCATGCCTCTGGGGTGACACAAAAAATGATGTCTATGAATTTGATCCTCCCGCGACCATAGAAATCTTAAGATCTTAGCATCTTAGCATCGGTAAGGGGGGAAGAAAGATTCTGACTTACAATCATAAAAAGAACGTACATCTCAGCTTAGTCGATGTAAGTTAGCTCAGATTAGTTGTAAAAAGAAAACGACTAATATTATTTTTGACGTCACAGTTTATTGCTAAAGAATCAGTTAGCTCACTCGGACCAGTTGAAAGTTCCAAAATAACATCCACTCCAGGGATACAAATTCAGGATACGCAGAATAATGCTGTTTTATTATAGGCGGTTGTCATATATTGTATTGTCCGAGTTGCACAGTGTATAAACTGAAACATTGAGATCAAAAGTGCCGACGCAGAGTGAGCGATCTGATTCTTTAGCTGTAAACTGTGTCACAGGGTTCAAAATGGCTGCGCCCTATGTTGGGCGTGTCGGACCTCTCTCTTGCCTCGTATAGTAATCAAAGTATGTGGTCGGACCTCTCTCTTGCCTCGTATAGTAATCAAAGTATGTGCCATAACCTCTTTTTTTAACCTCAATTTCTCTTCTTTTTTATTCGGTGGTAGTCTGTTACATTTGGGAACAACTGTCAGTGGCCTCTAATATAAAATACTGCTAACAGAAAAACTACTATACTAACAAATAAATCATGACCTCCTTGGAAAAAAATGAGACCTAACTTTACAATATGTGATATTTCGATGATAGTCAAATCTTATAGGCACTTGTGAGACATCGCAAGGCTGGAAATTTTTCGTTCTATCGAAAAATCGAAAAATCCAATATAGCGGCTATTATAAAAATAAAAGTTTAGGCGGATTTCGGGATAACAGAAGACGATTAAGGCATGTCATACGCGCTATCTTATTTGTATTTAAAAAGTGTCTGAATAATCTTACATTTTGACAGCTGTCAAATTATTCGTTTCGGATTTACAGACAAAAACGAAATCCTCCATTTTCGGTGTTATGCCGATATTACCATAACCAACTGATCGATCGTAAATCTGAAGTCAATTATCAAATGTACAAAGTTTCTTTTAAAACTTTTCCTTTTTAACCTATAATAGGAACCGATATCCCTGTATAGAGAAGCGAATCTAAGACGCACGGTATTATTTCTAGGGCTGATAAAGCACTTTCTAGAGATGGTGTTGTTTGCGAGGTACACTTTTTAAAAGATATTTTCAAATATTATGAGACTTTTCTTTACAAAAAATAAAAAGGGGTAGACCAAAATTAAAATATGAGGCCATACCTACCATGTACATTCACAAATCTCCCTTTATGCTTGTATTATAACAGTAAAAATCTGTTAACTGTGTTTTATTTTGTTCTTAAAACTATTTTTAGGTATAATTCAACAAAAAATTAGTCATAAATTGTACTTTCCAAATTTCATAATTTAACAAATATTCGAATTTGGTCATACCCACCTAATTGTATTTTATATAGATAAAATTAAATAATTTATCAATTATTAAAACATGCAATACTTATTTAGAAATAAATACAACAGTATTTTCTATGCTTTATTTAGCAATAAACAAGTTTATGTTGATTATTTTTACAAAATGATATATAATTCCCATAAAAAGCCATGTATTTTTAACAGTACTACACGGAAAAAAAATTGTAAAACAAATTTCTACAATTATACATTTTTTCTCTACAATAAATAGTACATGTAGGGACAAGGACAATTTGTAGTAAAATTTCCAAATATTTGTAGAGAATGTATTGTAAAGTTATTATCTACAATATGTAGTAAAAATATCCATATGCATCATAAGTATTGTTCTACAAATTGTTATAATTTTTGCTATTCGTTGTATGAATATTAAAAATGTATTGCGTTTCATGAAAATTAATACGAAAATTTTACACAATAATTAGTAAAAATTCAAACAAATTGTAGTAATGTTTAATAAAATAAAATAATTATTATATTTATAACCTAGAAAAAATGTTCCTTAATAAAATATTCAAAATTTATTATGGCAATAAAAAGATACAAAGTCTTAATTACATTATGTAATAAATAACAGTAATAACAGCTCCGTCAGTCTCAGTTGGCTTTTCTACATCTAAAAAATATGAAATAAAAATTAATACCTATTGAACTGCTCATACCCATAAAACGGTAATATCTATCAACTTTACAGTGATTGGGATATTAAATGACCAAGTGTTAGAACTAAAAATTGAGAAAGTAAGTATATCACAATTAAAACGAAAAAACATCATCGAACTTGGCACAACATTCGATCGTTGGCCATACCTATTTTTATTAAAATAATCTACTAAGATTATTTAAATTAGTTATCTATAGGTAAATTATTCAGAAACAATAATAAATGTACTAACGACTAATAGAAGTTATTATTAAAATTTTCTCGAACCATGACTACTTATAACATAATAATGTGTTATATATGTACCATGCTTTGTTTTGTAAAGATGACGAACGGCTAATGCTGTCTGACCATTTATGGTCGACGTCAGAAAATGTTGGCCAATAGCAGAATTCTGTTTTATTCACATGACTTAGAATTTCTACAATATTATAAAAAATGTTTTTCAACAAAATTGAATTTTTATCATAAGAAGAGATGTAAAGTATTACTATTTTTTGTAGAGAAAATTACTATTTTTTGTAGAGATAATTATTAATATTTGTACAAATTTTAACAGAAGTTAGTTAGTAGTAGTAATACGATAATAAATTTCTACTTCTACAGAGAAGAGTAAAATATACTAAACTTTGTGGTCTTCTTTCCTATTGTAGCATTTTATTCGACAATTCATTTGCTACAATAATTAATAGTTTTTAACTATAAATTATAGTAAAATTTTCTACAAAAAGTTAAGTATTTTTCTACAAGTCTACTACTACAACATTTTTTCCGTGTTACACCAGCGCCCCTGCGGTGAATTGTAAAAGCTCACTTAGCGTTCGGTTTTTGGGACCGTATTTTGAGTTTGCCGATTCGCCTCATTTTCTCTAGTCTTCATAGTTTTTAGTAAAACTGTCAGTAGAACACGAATTACATCACATCATCACATTAATATACCTGTCTAGTTCTGACCAATCAATGTTTATTCAAATTTGTCCAAGTTTAATACCTAGCACTTATTTGTTTCAGGTTTTTTCTCCAGGTGATTATATTTGCCGGAAAGGCGACGTGGGAAAAGAAATGTACATAGTAAAAAGAGGCAGACTGCAGGTAACTATAACAATTTTACCATTTTACCATAAAAATTTACTTATTATAGCCTCCCCGTTATTCAGACCCGACACCGTTTTTTTATATATTTTTTTGTACCAATGAAAATTAAAGAGTGTATAGATATCTCAGAAGCCAACCAAGCCATCTTGATTTCAAACTCAATGAACCTCGTTTCCTTCTATTTTTTTAACTTTCCACACGTTAAGTTGATTTCGGACAACCATCGAGAGAGTGAGAGAGAAAGAGATAGAAATAGAAAAAAAACCGTAATGAATTCGTTCCGCTTTACTAATTAGCGTTCAATTTAATTAAAGTGAGAACGAATAATAAAAGGGCAAACCAAAAATTTGCAGAAACTCAATAGCTAACTAAAAGTCATTGGCGTTTCGTGTGGAAGCTTGATTTAATAATTAAATAATTAACTTTAATACAAAGACTTCAAAAAACACAAAAATAACATAAGTTAACTAAAAAGAAAAAACAAATGCTTTTAATATACATCAATTTAATAATTATTTGTTGTTCTGTTCATTGAAATTAAAAAATTAATTACTTATTTTTTAATTTTGAAGTCGGTGCCAAGTAAAACATAAAATAATGCAAAATACATCAACATAATCTCAAATCCATGCATCACATTAATATGGGCGGCTGTTTATCTTTTGACAACTACTCCTTTGACTAATACCTCACCAGGTATTGAAATATGTCAAAACAAAAAAGCAGAGATAAACACTATATTTAACACTCTGCCTTTAATTTTGCTTACTAAGGAAAAAGTCATTCTTGTACTGGACTGGAGATTTGTTATTTATTGCTGAAGAGTCCTAATAAGAACGAAACCGATCAAAGAATGACTTTCTCCTTAATAAGCAAAATCAAAAGTAGAGTGTTGAAAATATTTTCTATCTCTGCTTTTTCTTTTGACCAAATTTAATACCTACCTAATTATTTCTTTATTTAAACACGCCGCCGTATTCCCGTATTCCTCTATTTCATTTTACTAAAAAATTATCGCTACACGGGCATTTAGGTAGGTTCTCCTCTGTCGTATAGAAAACTATAAAATTCAAATAAGTAGATACCCGAAGCCCACTTCGGCTACATTGTGCACTTCTTTATCTGCGGGTGATTTAGGACGGGCATAAAATTTTAGGATTTCATTTATTAAACTAACCAAAGCTTTGCGTTGAGTCGAAATATTATTAAGCTGCAGTAAAAGCCGGAAGACCTACAAAGTGACCGGAATGTATACGAATGTTCTGCAGCGGATGGATAAGTTATAAACCGAGGTTATCTATATATGGATTATTCAAAGTTTCTACGTGTATAACTAATTAAAATTAAAACTAATACGGGATTTGGTAATGGTAAATTGTAGATTTTCGATTGGACAACACTGTGCGTGCGTTCAGATTAGAATTATAATTATTATAAGGTCAAACGAACTTGCCTTAAGCAAGACACGAAGATTCACTTGACCAACCTGCTGTGGACTTTATAATCAGGGTTGCCAATCTGTAAGTAATTCCTCACATTTGTGAGTAATTTACTAGTCTGTGAGTAATTTTGTGAGTAAAGGGCAATTGTGAGTAATATGTGAGTAATCGGGAAGTCAGCGTGGGTATATTCATGGTAGTTAGGCAAAATCCTGATCGGATAATTTATTAAAACCGTGTTCTTTTTAAAAATTTTAATATAAGCCTTATTTTACCCCCTAGCACTTTTAGCAGTCATTACAATTTTATAGTTTTAAAATTGCAACGTCCTCTATTGCTTGGTCAATGTAATACAGTAAAAGTAATTTTGATATTTTACAACACTAAGGCCCGTATTTATAAACAAAACTCAGCTGAGTCGGACTTGGGAAAGTCGTCCTTGAACGAAAATCGAAGTTCAGTTATATCGCGTGAATTTAGAGATGGGTAGTAACAAATCCATAAATGTACATAACAGTTACAGATTTGCTAATATCCATCTCTAAATTTCAGTTTAACACCAGAACCACCTAGAACTTTAGAGACGTTGTAACCGAACTTTGATTTTAGTTCAAGGACGACTTATCCAAGTCCGACTCACGTAAGTTCTGTTTATAAATACGGGCCTAGGTGTCGTTTCGGTAGTGGTAGTCCCATTGGGACTGTCCCAATCACAAAGCACATAGAGGTTCCACGTGAATGACCAAGGCCAAAACCGACAACTGACATTTTTTATGCTATTTGCTCCAAACTCTAGATGGGGCTACTGGTGAAATTATTATTTCATACTCCATTTTTAGTTTTTTATGGGCGAAAAACTTAACCAAAGAATCCAAAATCCAAAGATGTGACGTGTATTTATTTAAGTTTTTGGTTAGTCTCATTTTTCCGTGTGATTTTAGTGATTTTTTTGTTGACTTTGGCTTTTGGTTTCTGTTTATAGTTTCGTCTTAGTTTTTGCAAAATTGTGATGTTTTGCTTTTCTATTTCCTACTGTGTTTTGCAATAATTTTGGTGCTACGTTGAAAACTTCCAGAAAAACTTCATTCATTTATCATGCATCATAAAAAGACAAACGGGTAATCAATTTATCACTGGACTAGATTCCGAAATAATTTCTCACATAAGAGAGTAGACCATCTGTATTTGGAAGGAAAAAATTATCAGTGAATTAATAGTTAAAAGGATTCACCTTCCTGGCTCACGAACTAGGAGGTGTTTATCATCTTAGGAGGATGAACAATGGGCCTAATGAGACATAAGTGCCGTGGGGGTAACCCACCCTCCACACGTTACAGATACAGAGAGGATTCACCTTTTAATCCAATACCTATATAACATTTATCCTTCAGGTAAAAAGACATTTATAAAATACAACTTTAGTGTTAATAAAATGTTATATCCTAGTTTCTACTTCACATTTCAATATATTGATACTTTAAAGATTTAAGATTGTATACCTATTTGTTCAAAGTAAGTATTCGTTAAATATGTATTATTATTTATATTTATTTTGTTCTATAATATTTATTTAAGCTATTAATAAACATATTTTAAGAATGTTCTATTGATTATTTATTGATATATCTTATATTTTATTTAATAATAATATGCAGAACCAACTCTCCACATCAGACCCCTTATAACAAATTAATTCCTCAAATTTGGTATAATCGACCTAAATTATTTTGTAAAATAAAAGTTTCGAACTTACTAGTTCCACACTTTATTTTATAAAATAATTTATGTGGAGATCATTTGAAATTTAATTTAAAACTACTAACTACTCCTAAAAATTACAGTTTGAATTTACCGCCATCTGTCAATTGTCATTTTAGTTCCGGCTCCAAACACAAGGTGGCGCTAATTTGGTTTAAAAGTTTAACATTGGCGTGGGGTCTCTAGAAGATACGTGCTTTGTGGTCCCAACCGTCGATTAATATCTTTTTTTTTGTTCATTTTAAAAGTATATTTTTTTATTAGTAGATTTTTTTAAGTATTAGAATTAATGATTTATTATGATTTGGTCCGTTAATAAAGAAGCTACTCTGATTCTCCAATCCTTTTTATCTGTGTTTTTTGGTTAGCTGCTGACAAAGATGTTTTATATACAGGGTGATTCATAACTATTGGGACATAGGCTAAGGGCAGGTTATTTGTATCAAAATATGGCGATAGGGCCAAATATACCTTAATAAAATATTGCTGTGGAATAAGATACAGGGCGTTAAATAATAATAATAATAGTAATAAACTATAATCTAACAGCAAATTATTTGACACTGCAAAGCAAACTTTTCATAAATGAAATATTTTGTGAGTTGTTCAATTGCGTTTTTCTCGAAAACGGGTGAAATGTTCTAATCAAAACTACTAAAAAGTTTCGTAAAAAAAGTTACCACTTAATTTCATCATCAGGATTCATTCACGTGGCGCCTCCTGTAACAAAATATTCATTAATACATAAAATATTATTCCTTGTCGAAAAATATGCCTTTGTGCCAATTTTGATATCAATTAATAAATATACAGTGACATCAGAAAAAACAAATTCCACAGCAATATTTTATTAAGGTATATTTGATCCTATCGCCATATTTTTGTCCAAATAACCTGCCTTAGCCTATGTCCCAATAGTTATGAATCAACCTGTAATATACAAGTTGTTATTAAAATAGTGAACGCACAGAAAAAAGGTGCATCTGTTTTGACTCTTGTATATTCTGAAAATTTATCTTTTAATGTTTGGCAACATTGCACAGTAGTAAAATAAATTCAAACCAAAGTGCAAGAGTACAAAATATAAGATTTATATAAAAAAACTAGTAATATTAATATTTTGAAGTTGTGAGTAATTGTGAGTAATCCGGAAAAGTTTTTGAGAGTAAATCGGTAAAGACCGGTTGGCAACCCTGTTTATAATATCTAAGTTCAGTCCTTTATTCAACGCTGCTGATGTCGCGTCTCGTACTGTGAGCATGAAAGATGTTCGTATCAACCATGCATTTTTTTAATATTCGCTTTACCTAACGACTTAAGGTCTGAGCAGAAACTGGTTTTCTATAGGATATAAAAAGGTTTTTTACAGATTCTCCTCTAACGATCTTAGTTCGCTCTATGTATGGGTCTAATGTTCTCTCAGGGCAAATATTAAAATCCTAATCAAAGAAGGGAAGAGTTAAACATGGTTGGAGTCTGTTTCTATCTGATGATTTAATATTATTAGAAATGTTTATTGAGAAGCCATCTGGAGTTCTACAAATATTCTCCAATCTCATAAGGCTGAAGGTTTGCATTCTATATGCAGTAAGTAAAGCCAATAGTGTTACTAATTTTTCTGATAATTCCATTAAAGGAAGTTCATGATTGGGACATCAATCTCTGAAGGAATTCAGTACCATTACTAGGTTCCAAGTTGAGTCGTACCTTGGCAGAGTAGGTCTTAGGTTACTATCGAATTTAAAAAATCTTTTGATCGTAAAGTCCACAGCAATTTCCGGTGTCAAAATCAAAGAAAATGCTGATCTGTAATTATTTAATGACCCGTATGTTGATCCCTCCTGGAACCGTTCTTGTAAAAATTTTAAAACCTTAAAAATATCACCCGTGAAAGGGTCTGTTTCCTCTGACATACAAAACTTCCACCAAACTTTCAACCCCACCGTATATTGTTTTAAGGTAGAAGTTGAAATGGATAACAGCATAATCTCAATAATATTGTAGTCCAGGCTCTTTAGGATGAACGCCTGTTGGATAAAAGTCCTGCCACTAGGGAAAGGTTTCTTACCAAGGGGTGTGGATACCTGTCAACAGATAGTAATAGTAAGGGATCAGGGTCGAATTTAAGCAGTTATGAACTTTAAACACTCATAAACAAGGGCCAGAGTCCAAAAGGACACTACTACTAATCCTGAGGCATTATCATTTATAAGTTTCTGTATTACTGGTTGGACCAACGAGAAAGGCGGAAAACTGCAAAAGTTATTATAATTTGACCAATTTAAGGTTAATGCATCAATGGTTAAGGCATAAGGGCCTTTCTTCCATGAGACATACCTTGTACACTTAGCATTTGTGCAGCTTACAAAAAAATCGATTAAAGGTTGTCATTTGAAACGCCTCATTATTTAGTTCCCACTCAGTCTCTGGAGACCTCCTGGATTCAAAGTATACTTCAAAATTATCTGTTGAACTTATATAAGAAGCAAATATGTAAATACCACGAGCTTCACACCACTGCCATATTGTTCTTGCTAAAGTGTTGAGCTTGGGGTAGCGTATGCCCCCCTTTTTTGTTTATATATGATATAGCCGTGGTGTTATCAATTCTGAGAAGGACATTACAATATTTCTCTTCGTTTACAAAACATCTTAAAGCAAAATAGGTAGCTCTCAACTCTAAAAAAATTATATGGTGTGATGTTTCATGATCAGTCCAGCTGCCCGAAACCCGTTGGTTCTTATGTACTGCTCCCCAACCTGATAATGACGCATCAGAAAATATTTCAAAAGCAAAAGAAGATCTAGTGATGTATTCAAAGCTTGTTGGGATGTTTTGAACCCAGCAGTTAATATCTAACTTAACCAGGCGCGGATCTGGGAATATTTTTGGGGGGGGTAGAAAATTTTATTAAAGAATCATTCGTTTATTTAAAAAATAACAAAAAATACTGTACGCCAGCCTGTGCATCTCTATTCTTCATTCGTCACCGTCATCTTGTTTTTTTTTTGCTTTCTCGTAAAATCTCGTTGTTTTTAGATTACATTTTAATAAATTCCTGGATTTGTTCGAGCAGCTCGGGGGGGGGGTAATTACCCTATTACCCCCCTTGTATCCGCGCCTGAAATTAACAGGAATACATCTCTAGGAAAGAATTGAGCAAACGTAAAATCTTTAACTTCTTCGGTAAGAGACATAGTCATTAGTGTCAAATTAAAGTTAAACCCAAAGAAATTGCAGCTAGTGGATGGATTAAGGTTACTCTTTTCCATGTTAATTATTAAACCTAATGTTGTTAAAAGAGATGAAGTGTCTTTAATATTTTGTTTACAATGTTCAAAAGATTTTCCCAACAATATAAAATAGCAACCCTTTAGCTCTAAGAGTGGATATCACAAGCTTCATAATTTTAGTAAAACTAGTGGAGCAGTGCATAATCCAAATGGGAGACAACAAAATTCATAAAAAATATCATTGAAAAAGAATCTTAAATACTTTCTGTTTGAGATTTTGATCTTAACTAAAAAATAAGTCCAAAGTTGCCATATAACAACCTTCGGTAATTAATTTTGCTACTGTACTTTTATCTTCCAACTTAAAATGTTCTGTTTCGATGAACTTATTCAGATTTTTTAAGTTTATTACTAAACGAAATTTGCCATTTGTTTTTTTTTTTAACTAAAAAAATGTTGGATATAAATTGTTCCTTACATGGCTTAATTTCAAGTAAATGGTTTATTTCTGATAAGATCTGCTGATGTTCAATTAAAGATCTGACAGTTTCAATCGGAATCATATTTTGTATGGGTGGAAAAATAAAGTTTAAGGAGTAACCTTTAATCCGAGACCTTATAAATGGATTCTCTTAAATATTTTTCCAGAATCTGTAATATTTACTTAGATTCCCTGTTAGAACACTTTCACTTGAGAAATCGAGCTTTGTTGTATAAATGACTTTGTTTGGGTTGATGTTTCTCGGGTCTTTTCCAAGCTTTCTGTTGATGTCCCTCAGGGCGTGAGTACTTATGTTGTCCGGGGGAACTACGTGAGTACTTTTGTTGTCCGGAGGGACTCTGGAAGTTTAAAGTCTTGTGCGATACCTTTGACTTAGACCTCAGCTTCAAATCTTCTCCTGCACGCTTCATAGCTTTTGCTAATTTGATTCGGTCTCCTAAGTAGTTCCCAAATAGCCATTCATCTAACTTATCCTCCCCTATTACTTCTTTATGGTCACGTTTAAATTCTAATGTAAAAATATTTCTTCTTGTTTCCGAGTTTTGCCAATGCGTATCACATATGAGACGATTGTCAGTTTTCCTTCAACATCTTCCATCCAAGAATTAAAGTAAGAGTTTTTCCAAGTGAGGACAGACTAGGCCCTAACTGGGTCTGTTAAGATTTTAATTTGTCATCTCTTTTAATAGCTGTATTAGAAGCTGCTACCTTAGCCTCTGGGTTGACTTTGGGTGGCGCCATTGAAGGGTAATTTAAGGGTGTAGGGTATTTGGAAACAAGTTTTGATCTAGTGTCTACATCTAGTCCTGACCCCAAGATTTCAAGCCATGAGGAAGCTATATCACTTTGAATGATTTCACCAATACTCTTCTCTATATTGTGCTTATTGCCCAAAATTTTAAAAATATTCTCATTCAGTAATGAACCTTCAATTTCATTAAGATGGTCTTCTTTTTGATTTATATCTTAAAAGAAAAATCAAAGTAGAACCACAAAATGTAAATAATTACAATTCACAAATGAAAGGACGTAAGTAAACTGAACCTCGCAATATCTCCCAATATTATCCAAACAATATGACATATTCTTAGCCTTCATACATTATTTTGCTGGACGTTTGATAACACTATGAAAAAACCAGCTTCTTCTTGGTCTTAGTGATTTAACCAGGTCTGTACTGAAGCTGGGGCCCGCACTGGGTCCAAGACTCGCACTGAGTCTATTTAATCCGCACTGGATTTGTTATAAACTCGCACTGGGTTATAGGTAAAACTCGCACTGAATTATGGAACTATCTGGAATCACCTGTAAAGTAATGTGATCCAAAAGTAAAGTATGCCCAGTTTACCATTGTCCTTTTCGTATTTCTTAATTTGCAACCTACAAAAATTTAGTATCATTTTAACCTACATGCATCGTTCTGTTTATCTATAAATACTATCTCTGGTTCTTTTGCCAGGGAACTACAACTGGTTGAACTGAATTTTCTAGATCTCGATTTTGTCTTCTCCTTCTTATGTTGGCGATTTTCTTCAGAAGAATCGCTTCCTCTGCTGTAAGATTTTTCTTTTTGTCTGTCGTTTTTTAAGTCTTATTACCTCCTTCCTTAAACGACATAATTTTGAGTCGCTGTTGGACGTGTCCGATGATGAATGACAATGTTTTCCCATATTTTATAATTTTTTTTCTGAGGTGTAACTTTTCACCAAAATGAAAAGTGGCAGCCACGCCCGTAGAGCGCGGGAACTACATAGAGAGTTAGATTATCAGTTTTTGGCTTTGGACTATGGTGCACAACTAACTCATAAATTAATACTACGTTTACTTATCATCTGAAGAAGGGAGGGCAGTGTATAATTACGTACAGTACAACAAGATTAAGATGGCAAGTCAGAATTAAATGTGTACTGGCAAATCTGAAAATGGTAGTTAATGGCTGAACTTCGATGGTATTGTTTCAGTGACTATCTCCCTAGACCAAATATCAGCGACTATTTCTCTAGAGAAATAGTCAATATTTGGTCTAGTCAAATAGTCGTCCCAAAAATAACACGACCTTGATTATTATTCTGCTATTTTTATTGTTGCTAAATTTTTCGAACATTTTACAATTTGATTCTACATAATTTTAGCATTAATAATCAATTATGTTTCATCAAATTTATATTAAAATATTCTCGAGATTTAGATTCAACAAAAATAGCTGACTATTATCAAGATCATGGTATATTATCCTTAATTATTTGTGTTCACTCGTGTTAACTGAGATAATTCCTCCCATTTTTATATTTAAAAGTGCGCATCTAATTCAATTCTAATTAAATATTGTCGTACTGTAATAATTCCATATTTGTTTGTAATTTGCAGGTGGTAGCAGACGACGGCTTCACGGTATTGGCCACGCTGGGAGCTGGATCAGTTTTCGGCGAAGTGAGCGTACTCGACATTGTCGGAAATCGTACAGGGAACAGAAGAACAGCCAATGTCCGTTCACTAGGATATTCGGACCTTTTCTGTTTAGCGAAGGACGATCTCCTGGTCGCGTTGGCAGACTATCCAGACGTAAGTAAATAATTTCTAGTTTTTATCATAAAGAACAACGTTTTTTAAATTTCAAATTGCATTAAATTTTTTTAAATGTTTCGCTTTTCCAGGCCAGAGCCACGCTGACAGAAAGAGGTTGCCAACTGCTGAGGAAGGACGGTCTCCTCGACGAGGAGCAGTTCCGGAACGCGAAGGACACTCAAGAATCGATGAACGACAGCATAAAAAAGTTGGAGAGCACCGTGGAAACGTTGCAAATCCGCTTGGCCAGACTCCTGGCAGAATTTACGGCGAGCCAAGCCAAAATCAAACAAAGACTCACCAGGGTTGAAACAAGGTATGTTTGGGTTTTCTTTTGCAATTAGTAATTTATTATCTTTCTCGACTTTTGTTCAGTTTTTTGGTGTCCTATACTGCCCTACTTCAGAAAAAAGCCGCATGTATAAAAGTTCTTGTTTTGAATAAAAAGCGTTTAAATTTGTCCCACATTTCGAGTGTTTTTATTTTGCTTATAGTTATTAGATAAGTAGAGATATATTTATGATTCCTTAACTAATAATTAAAGGGCAATTTTTATTTTGGTCTAATAACAAAGGTTTTTGACAAATTATAAAAATATAATAGATTTTAAATTATTTAAGTAAGAAAACTGTGACATACGGCATTTTGTCTAATGGAATTTAAATAGCACTAGTAAAAAAGCCGCATGTCAGTCACATACGGCAATTTGCCCTAAGTAATTTAAACAATACTAGCGAAAAAAGTCGCATGTGAAAATTTCACCTATTTGATAGGCATGAAAAGTGCAGAGTTTAGACTAACAGTAACAAACATAGTTCAAAAAATTTAAAAATTCAGTAGAATTTTGAGATTTGGAATAAATTAGGAAGATTTCAATGACTGAGTTTGTATTGGGATCGTAAAACACTCCTCAAACCTTATAAAGAAAAAAAATAAGGACAATTGAAATATTTTTTTCTGGGATTGTCATTAAATGTCACTTTTAGTGACATTTCTCAATCATCGAAGTAACACTTTTACTGCCCAAGCATTAAAATAATTTTTATTGCTTATGCAGTAAAAGAGCTACTTCTATGATCAAGAAATGTTACTGAAATAGACATTTAATGTCAATCGGAGAATATATTAATAAAAAATCATAAAATACGATTAGAATAAATATTAAAAATGTGTGAGTTATAACCCTTATACCTACTTAAAACAGGTTTTCATTTTATATCCATTTTTTTTAAACAGACTGTATAAACAATCGGAGAAAAATTGTATGTTTTACAAAGCAGAGAAACATATTTACTGACATGGCTAGTTTCATACCCTCGGCTTCGCCGCAGCAGTAAATATGTTACTTATCTGCCTAGTTAAACAAATAATAACTATTAAAAGTAGTCAAAAAAAGTTTTATTGAAGTTCAAATAATAAATGTAAACACATAAAAATATTGTAAAGAGTTTTAAAACAAATAAGAATTCTCTTATATTTCAATACATAAACAGAAATAAAACTAAATAATAAAAAAATGTCCAAAAATTTCAAACTGAAATGTTTAATCTTCATCCTCAATATGCTCTATGAGATTACGCGAATTGTTGTTTACTGCCAAGTCCTTCCAAAACTTTTTTTTGCAAAGGAATGATGTCACCAAGATTTGTTAATATTGTTTGTTTTCTCTTATCGGTAATACCTCGATCTTCAGAGTTTTCTTGAGCTTCAGCCATATATATATAAATGTGTCTCTCCCCTTTTCGCCGTTATTTCTACCATGTTTTTCAACAGAGGTTTTACTGGATTTAATTTTTTAATTTGGTAATCAGAGGTTAAGGTAGGCCATTTTTTGAAGTTTCTAAAACTCATTTCTTTCACAATGGTGTGACTATTTGAACAGTCGCCTACAACTTCGACAAAATCTTGGAAGTCGTATATTTTTGGGGTTTTCTTCATTTCTAGCTCCACGAGGTGATGAAAAGAATCCGCTGACATAAACGAGTGACCAGGCTCAAAATATTTTATTGTAATGATGTCAGCTGCAATTTTTTCAGAATTGATTGCGTACACTAAGTAGCTTAATAGACACCAGTTTTTATTTTGGCTGGAACAATTGTCAGCCCAGAGAACAACGTTATTGCAGTCACGTGAGCTTTCAAGAAATGTGTCATTGGTATGTCCTCCTTTTTTCTACCAGAAGTTGCTTCGTGCCAAAGTACAGCAAGTGGTTTATTTTTGCTTGTTAACTTCCCAAGTGGTACAAAGGACTGATTAAAAACAATGAGTCTTGGAGTAAAAATAACCTGTTTAAACATGTCTAACCGGGGCATCATGATAACTTTCTGTAAATCAACAGAGCAGTAGACTGTAGTTTCATCAGTTAGCTGCTTCGTACAATCTTTTTTGTACTCATCTCGAGATTCTCGTACAAACTTATTATGCTCTTTCCAAGAAATACATCCATCACATGTATTGATTATGTTATCCTTGGTATGGGTCTTGTCATGGAGATCAAAAGCCTCACATTTTTCGCATTGCTCATGACCTAATTTGGTAAATGATATTTTCATATCGTTAGTTACTACAGATCTATAATATTCGTACGAAATTTGTAAATCTGGATTTTTTTCTAAAAAGTCTTTATACATATTAGTTATAGTTATGTCACTGGGTAGGTATAACTTATTAGGTGCGTGTTCTCTTCGATAATGAGATACACTAGGAGAAAATGACTTTATATGCTGCACAATAATATTCTTATCAATTGGATTTTTTCTTTTCCAAGTTCCTCGATTATCTTTTGGAGGGCTTGATAAATTTCTAAGAATTCTATCATTATTGCACGCATATCCTAGAGTGCCTAGAAAAAAATTCTTGCAGACTTTTTGTTTTTCACCCAAATCGTCTTTTAAATAAAAATTTCGGTGAATATTTTTTTTTAAATCCGTTTCCACCGTATTTGCACGTCTTTTCAATACTGATAGAGTCTCTGAATAATTTAGTAAAAATTGTTTTTGTTGTTCAAAATTTTTTCGCCAATATTTTTCGTTAATTATTAGTCTTCTCTCCTGACTAAATTTCATAAAACATTTGTCTCTGCACTTGGAAGCAGGTTTTACTTGATGCAGTTTTAATTTATTGTTATGAAGAAATTTTTTTCGTTCTGTTGGAGAAAACTTATATTTTTTTCTTGATCTTTCTTTTCCTCGTTTTGTAGTAGCAAATTCATCTATAGCAAATACTTCTTTTCTAGTAGGTGACAGATTAGTTTCTTCTTCTGCTATGTCTATCCTATTTGTTTCTAGTTTCTCAGATTCCTCATTGATATGTCCAATGTTATCGAGGTTGTTCAGTTCCTGTATTTGTGTCAAATTCTGTACATGCAAGGGTTCAATTTCTTCCATAACGATCGGGTTAGTGATGTTATTTGTCTCAATAATTTCTAAAGTAACATTTTCTGCAACTTCACTTGTGAAACTGATTAAATGTTCTTCAATAAAACTGTTTGTAAGAATAGGAACATTATTTTCATCAGTCATTATCAAATTCTCAATATCAAAAGATGAATCAACAGAAATAGCTTCATGGTTTTCAATTGTTTTAAAAGTACTGTCTATAATTAATTCTAATATTTCTTTAGCTACGCAGATACTCGTGCCGCTTCTTCTAACTTTTAAATCTTTACTTGGCCTTAAATTTTCAATTCCATCAGGAGGGTGCTTTTGAGACTGGCGTTTTCTTAAAATAGTTTCATGTTGCTGATTTCTCTCATTGAAAATTAATGGCGATGTTGATTTTGTCGCTAACATTGCAATTTTTTTTCCTCGGTTCATTTTATCTATAACAAAAAAATGGAAATTCAAAATTCAATGTCACTAACACCTTTGTTTCTCTTTAACATTAATTTTGTTATGTTGCTATCATTATTACTCAAAAAGAAAAAATAACTTACCTATATTATTAAAGAAATATTTTTAATACGTTAAACTAATCTCTAAAAAAATACAACTTACACGCCACTTCGAAAGACTAAATTCAACTGACAGTAAATTTGTGTTGTGATAGTTTTGTTGTAACGGTTCGCGCAGGTCTTTATGGACACAAGAGAAGAATGCCGTATGTAATAACATACGGCATTTAGTACTGATATACTGACAAAAATCCACAAGACTACTAGAAAAGAAAGCCGGATGTACAATATGAGTATACCAGAAATTGAAATATACTAGTAAATAAAGCCGCATGTGTCTACATATGGCGTTTATAACTTGCATTACTGACCGACAAAGTCTACATGCGGCTCTATTTTGATACATGCGGCATTTTTTACTAGTAAATTAGGCAGAAAAAACGGTTCTACACCAATCAGTTAAAATAACTTTTTTTGATATTATTTACTTAAAAATAAAGATAATTTTGATTTTTTCTAGAAAATAAGACCTCATAGAATTCAAATATAACATTAACTCAATTTGCTTAAAATCTCGACATGCGGCTTTCTTTCGAAGTAGGGCAGTATACATATATCATTAAATAATGGACATAACGACGTTTTTAACTTTTTAAGAAACTGATTTTGCAAATTATCGTGGCGAACGAAAAAGCAGTATGGGCTAGACTTGTAAATCTGTAGAGCTGCAGAACTGCCAAAAGAATGCAAGTATCTTATCTACATTTTAAAGAAATTATTTTAGAAATTCTAAAATATGGGTTAAGGGCGGGCGTGGGCAATGTATTTAACACAGGCATACACAACGCTCTTTCAATGACTTTTTAGCTGAAACTACAACAAAGATAAAAGTGAAAAAATTCCTGCCGATAATAGATATATACTACTGTTCAATAAAGGTTTTTGGTGTCTCTAACTATAAGGGATCGTTTAAAAATAATTCCCAAAATATGGTAATTTTTACGATGAAATAAAGCTAAAAATATACCAGTAATAATTACCCGATGATGAAAATAATTCTTCTTTGAATAGGCTATATACTAAAGCAACAAATGTCACTTAAAATATCTAAATTAATTGCGTCAATTTTCTTAAAAGCTCATTGAAGTAAATATTGGAATAAATTATAAATCGCCATTTATGAGTAATAATTGCCTAAAATATAAAAGAAAACTTCCTAAAATTGCATACAGTAGCCACAGGTTAATTCGGAGCTTCTCTAATAGATGGCGCTAAAGTCGTCTTGAATAAAAATAAAAATAAATTCAAATATACAGGTCCTTATTTAGGAGTTTACTAATATGTATATCATTTCAATTATTAAGTTGATTTGTATTCGATTTTTTTAATTTTGTAAGAATTAAACATATTCAATATTTGCGTAA